AATGAATCTCTTATGAGTCTGGTAAATATAGAAAGTTTTCCTTTTTCTTTAATATTTGCCCCTAATATAGGTTCCTAAACTCAGACTCAAAAATGTATGACCTCCTTTGAGACCCTTGCCTTGTACTGGTGGGAAGGGTCTGAATCCTATTAAAGGGTGGGGGCTGAGCCAGTTTAAGCTTAGAGTTGAGTCCATAGGAATTGAATGAGGGAGGCCCTGGGAGTAAAGAGTCAGATGGGCGGGTCCAAACCCAAATCCTTAAGGATGTCTGAGAGTCAAAACCCAGAGGCCACAGATAACATCAAGGCCAAAGGAGAGGCTTTGAAAGGGAGAGGAGGCCAAGGGACAGTGGGTGGATGGGCTGGAATGCGAGAAAGGAGCCCATCATCTTTCTTGGACAACCTGGCTTACAGTCCAGGAGGGGCTGGATGAATGCCAGAAAAGGCAAACATCATCTACTTCATTCGGAAAGGAAAACTTAGCCAAGGATTGAGGGTTGGGGTGGTGGCGGGGGGGCGGGGGGAGTTGCTCTTCAAGTACTTGAAAGACTGCTATGTGAAAGAGGAACTGTATTTTGTGGGCAGCTCAAAATGGCCTCCATGAGACGGGCACATGGGCAAAGGCGTGTGTAGGCAGTTACAGGGCCTGTTAGGAGAGCAAGGCTGTGGCCTTCCCTCTGGTCGCCAAGCACCCTGTGTGCCCATAACCATTGTCTCTGCTGGTTGGGCCTGGGCCCCTACCTCACTCAGTGGACTGTCAGTTTCTCCAACGCAGGAACAGGTCTTAGTCATGTTTATATCCTCTGCATCTTGGTATACCCTCTAAAAATCAATTCAAGTCACATCAGATTCCCTGCATCTGAGACATTTTCTCTCTCAGTAAGCCATCCATCCAGAGCAGGGCTGTTTTCTCTATCTATAACAATCACTGCTTCTCCACAGCCCTAGCAGGGCTGGCACCGTCTCCACCGTCCTGTTAGCCCATAGCTCCTTGCATTCAGAGGCATGAACCCATGTCCTCTCCCACCACACGCTTACCCAGTACATAACTTGTCATTTGAACAAAAATATGACAGAATTGAGGAAATACTAGATTTTTTTCAGATAGATTTGGAGAGGTAATTTTTGAAATGGCTTTCTGTGCAGTATCTCAGCCTGAAGTTGGGACTAAGAAGAGCTCACCTGCAGTCTGACCAAGTGGGGTCTTACACAGAGAATGCAGATTCCCGGGCATGAATGGAACAAGGACAACTTTAATCGCACCTCCCACTGGTCTGAGGGCCCCTGAGTGAGTCCTACAAGTGGACAGGTCATTTTGAACTATGTTTCCAAATTGACATTTATGCTTAAAAATTGCTTTCTTTTCTTATAAATATCTTGGTTATCAAAATGAGTGGTTTATTGAAATACGCATAAACTCCAGCTGTGGCGTTAAACAGTAGGTTATAATAAAATAAAGAATCGGAAAAGTAGGAGCTGCATAAAGTCGCTTAGCTGGAAGTAATCAAATCAAGTCCAAAGTTTTAATCCTCAAATAATTCTGTGATCCTGGCTCCTGATAAAAGGGAATTGTCTTAGCAACAAATAGAATAGCCTCTTGGGCATTCGCCTTCCTTTTAACAATGAAGAAACGGGCAAACGCGTCATTTGAGATTTTAATTCAGGTGACTTGTTTGTACTTAGACCGTTACACTGTTGAACTGTTCTTCTCTTTCTGTAGCAAGTGTTTGTTTTTTCGCTCTTTGTTATTATAGTAAAACTAAAATTGTGTAGCTCATCTGTCAATGTAATTAATAAAAACAAATTTCCACAAAAAAGTAGTCTTTTGCTAAAATGAAAATGTGAGAAATACATTCTCTTTTAAAAGATCCGTACCATACAGAATGAAAGGCAAAAAGAAGAAGTGAAAGTCATCCATCGTATCACCCCACCCAAAGGCGCCCCCTGTTAACCTGGTAGGCTTTCAGGATTTTTTAATTCGTGTATTCACAAATAAATTTTCAACAAAAATAGATTCAAGTTTTATTTTTGTATTTTAGTTTTTAAAACTAAACCATATATTAAGGACATTTTTTCGTATTAATAAATACAGGTGACATCAGCCTTTATAACTGCTGTAAGGTATTCCATGTATAACGCTTCTTAACTACTTCAAATATCCCATATTGGTGACAACCTTGCTATTCATAATTTCTTGCTATCACAAAGAACACTATAAAACATTGTAGGATGTTCATCTATGCCTATATTTGTCCTATAATTTCTCTGGGAAAATTATTAGAAGTGGATTTATTAGGCCAAAGTGTGTGTGCACTTAAAATACAGACAGATATTCCTTCATTATCCTCCGGATCAAACTATAAATTTGCACTCTCACCTATAGCGTATGAGAGTGCCATTCCCCAGCTCCTGCTCCAACACTCAGCTTTGTCAACTTTAAGAAACTTGGCCAAACGGGGAGACAACAATAACAAAAATCTCATTTTTATCACTTTTATGATGTCAACTACTATGGAGCTTACCCAACGTGTAATGTTTTGAGAGGTAACACAGAAAACGAGGACGCTGCATAAAGATGTCTTAGATATCACCTCCGGCCACTTCACGAGCTTGAGGACTTTGTGTGGTGACTAGCAGTGAGGCATGAAAGGTGGCAGGCTCAACAGAGGTGAAAAATCAGTGAAAAGCTGGGTGTCTGAGACCCGGACGGGGACTGCTCCTGTGTTTTGTGGCTGCTGCCTCTGCAGTCATTCGGCTTCTGCTCGCCTGCCTTCAGCAGGGTTGGTCAGTCAGCATTTTTTTTAGAAAGTTAGGTTGTTTATTACTCTGTGCACTGAGACCACATTGCTAAAAACCCGTGAAATTCAAAGAAGGGAATTCTGGTAAACACATGAGCCTGAGTAGTAGAAAACTCCGTCTGTACTTTGCAACAACACTCAGCGTCCAAATATTTTGGTTATCAAATTGGGTCATTGAATGAAGTACATTTATACTCCAACTGTGATAGTGAACAATAGGATATAATATAATAAAGAAACGGAAAAACAGCAGCTTCATGAAGTCATTTAGCCGGAAGTAGTCGGGTCTGACTTTTTCGATCCTCAGGTAATTCCATGATGCTGGCTCTTGATGAGAGGGAACTGTCTTCCCCAGAAGTTTAATAGCCCCCCGAGGTTTTACTGCAGAGGCAGTGGGGACCCCGCATGACCTAAACGGAACCTTGGGGTCCCAGGGAGCAGTGTTGCAAGGTGAGTTTAGTTCTAGGTGTTACCCAAGGGGCAGAAGGTTCTTTCTGAATGAAGTGGTCTGCTGGTAATCTCTAAACACTTTTTAGGCTGAATCCATTTTTTCTAGTCTGAACTTCATGGTTTCAATAATCTGCTTTTTCAAGTGCTTGTGCTGTGTGGCCTTGGGCAAGTGGCTCAACTTCTCTGAGTTTAATTTTCCCTGTGTGACCTATATAAACAGTGAAAAAGTTGCATAATGAACCATGACCAATTGGGATTTATCCCAGGAATTCAAACTTGGTTTGACATTAGAAAATCAGTTGTATAATTCTCCATATTAACAGATTAAAGAAGAAAAAAATGTAATCTCAATACACAAAAAAAATGTTCAAATAAATTCAACATCCATTCATTTAAAAAAATTAGAATGTTAGGGAATTTCCATGACATCGTAAATGGTGTCTAGAAAGAAAATCCATAATAAGCATTATACTTAATGGTGACATACTGTAAACACTCCCTTTAAGATCAATAACAAGACAGGGGCTCACTATTTCTACTTCTGTTCAACACTCTACTAGGGGTCTTCTTAGACAAGGCAGTAAGGAATAAAACAAAAAAAAGATTGGACAGTAAGAAATAAAATTATTTGCAAACAATATGATTGTCAGAGTAGAAAACCTCAGTGAATCTACAGATAAACTATTAGAACTGATATAAAACTTAAAAATGTGACTCAATAAAGAAAAAATATACAAAGTTAAGTTGCAATTCTAAGCATCTACACAAAAAATTAGAAAATGTGATATTTTTATAAAAAGGCTTTTATAATATTATAAAAATTTCAGATACTGGGGGAAAAATCTAACAAAAGATGTGCAATGCTTTTACAGCAAAAAAGTATGAAACTTTATAGAAAACATTGCAGAAAACATAAAGATATATTTATGAATCATAAAAATGTATATACTAAAATTTTCTGTAGATTTAATGCAATTCTAATAAAAATCTCAGTAGGTTTTTTTTATTATAATAGACCTTCTTATTAACTTAATAAGTGTCTGTTGAGCACCCTGTCCTAGCCAGACACCCACCACACTAGGCGTGATAGGGTAGAGCAATGAGCAAGACCTGAAGTTCTAACCCTTAGGGACCTTACTCTTGTGAGAGAAACTGACAAAATCAGTTACTACTAGTATGACACATTGATTATAGGCTGTGTGACTGACATTTTACAAGTGATAAAACTGAAGTTTAAATAAGTTAGTTGCCTTGTCCAGGACTACAGAGATAGTAAATACAAGAGCCACTTCTTAAATCCAAGTCTGCAAAGTCTGACTTCAAAGCCTGTGTTCTTCCCATGTCACCAGGCAGGTTTCCAAGGCCCCATTTGAACAAAGCTTAGCCTGTGTACCTCTGTGTGCACAGGCTCCTCTGGGTACCTCTGTGGAGCCACAAATGCTTCTGAAACACCCACAAAGTCTATACGGACAAAAATCTGCACCAGTCGAGAGCTGCAGCAGCAGTGAAGTGCATGCTGGGTGTTCATGGATGCCGGCACCACTGGGCTCTGTGTTGAGGCAAAGTCGGCAGCAGCTGAGATGTGATTTCAGGGATGCTTCTCCTCTAGAAGCTCTCTTCCCTGGGCTGTCTCAGTTTCCAAAAAATTCCTTAATTGAAGATTCAGGCTGCAGGATTTCTGGGAAGACTGTGGAATAAGCGAAAATGTCAGCAACCTCCATGTCTCCAATGCCATTACTATTTTTTTTTTCAGTAACTACAATAATAATGACAAAAAGGCTCTACCCCATCCACAACTGAGTAAGACTTTGTCTGGCTTTCTCGTCTGAGTTCCTAACCTTGGTAACCAGGTGCACTGTGGAGGGAACACCTATGCACATCCATACCTCAGAAATGGGACCGGAGACCTCGATGCTTCGTCCTACCTAATGAAACCCTGGCGGCCCACCTGGCGAGAGTCCAGGCTGCCACTCCATATGGCCTGCTACCTTGTCCTTGTCAGCTTCAGTAAGTAATTTAACTCAGGGGCTTAAAACCATCTTTTCAGATTTGTGAATGACAATGAGCATCAAAAAGTCAAAATCATGAAGACTAAATACTAAGGGGAAAAAAAGCCTCATAATAAAGAGGAACCAAACCATGAGCTGAGAAAAGTCTTTCTCCAGAAAGTGTTTTACCTCATGAATCTGAAAAATCCAAAAACTATTTTACACAACTAGCTGTTTGCTATGCTCAGTGAGATGAAAGAGGATGTGGCATGAGGGACAGGTATGAGAAACAACAATCTCGATAAAATATGTGATACAGCAAAGAAAACGATGACTGTAAGCGGTAAAAAGCAGAATTGTTACTGTAGAAAAGTAAATGCACCACACAAAAGAGAGTCTCTGTGTTGTGATAACTGAGAACTTGGCTCTTGAGTCAGACGGATTTGGCTCTAACTGAATTACCATTCTGCCACTTACCAGCTGTATGACCTTGAGAAATTTACTAGAACTCTATGCTTCATTCATAAAATGAGGGTAAAAGGAAGATTAATAACATTTAATTCTTGGATTTAGGCACTCAGGATTCTCTGTTAAAATGCCAACCTTCCCGGGAGAGGTAGACGTTACAATATTATCATCGTTGAGCATCTACTTTGTAAAAGGCAAGTTTCTTAAAGAACTACCTAACTGAGAAACGGGAAGAGACGACAAATATTTTGAAGAGTGAGGTAAGCTGAGTTTCCCAAATGTGACCAGGAAAGTGCCAGGTCAAGGGAGGAACAGAAAGAAGCACCAGATTTTGACTACTCCAATGCCCATGAGCATGACTGACCTCACTCTTCCAGAAGAAGGCTGACGGAACTACCAGACCCTACTCTTTAAAGTAGAACTACAAATTGCTTTCCATTGCCTGTAGAACATTCATATTCTCACTATGGTTCCTTATGTCTTACTAGGTTGGTCAACTCATATTCCTCTTCTTAGGGGATACTTAATCTCCAAGTATCTCAGATATAAAGCATGATTACATACAAAGGGTCACGGCATGGTCTAGGAAAATCACTTTATTTATACCATCTTGAAGATCTCAACTGGGCGGATAAGTGGTGGAGAAAGAATTACAAACCACTGAGTTCAATCACTTCTAGGTGGTGCATATCTACGATGAAGAATAGGCCATATCGCAGGCTCATAATTGAGCAACAGGAGACCGGGGATGGTGGGAAGGAGAATAGGAGGCACCAGAGGCCAGTTTAGACTACATCACAATTGGGCCTCGGTTTGGGCACCACAGCAGGGCAGTGAGATAGCAGCGTCTTCCTGTCTTCAAGCACCTAGGGAATTACACAGGAAGTCAGTTACACTGACCGGGCAGACGAGAAGATAAATTGTGGATGCCTTTCCCAGGCGGCATTATACTTCCCCTGTTAACACCTCCCATTGTGGAAAAATCTAAACAAACCAGAATTAACGGGAATCCAACATCTTCCTTTCTATAGTGAAAAGTTTCCTTGACGAACATTGAGGGAACTCCATTTTGGGGGGCTAGGAAATTGGAAAAAGAAAGTGTTATCAGTGCATAAACTACTTTTAACTTTATGTGTTGAAATTGAATATCTCATCAAAAATGTTTACACATACGACAGGTTGCTAGGAAGCAACGATGGTGAACAATCTATATACAATAACACGGCAAGGCTCATAGATGACATGCTGAGTAAGAGAAGCCAGACAAAAAAAGAGGACATACTGAAAGATTCTGTAGATAAAGTTCAAAAACAGGTGAGCCACTCTGTGCTGTTAGAAATCAAGAGAGGGGTTACCCTGAGGGGAGGTGGCAGTTAACGCCTGGAAGAGGTGATAAGGGAAGCTTCTGGGGTGTGGTAAGGACCTGTTTCTTGATCTGAGTGCTGATTACCTGGATGTGTTCAGTTTGTGAAAGCTGTGCATTCTAGACATGTACCCTTTCTCGTGTGTATTTTATACTTCAGAAAAGTTCAAACAGTAATTAGCAATAAAGACGAGCTCAGTTAGCCTCAGCATGAAATAACAATTTACACGACTATTGTTAGTATTGCTAGTGGAGTGCACAAACTCTGAAGCCAGACTCCCTGGCTTTTAACCCCAGAACTGCCATTGACCAGCTGTGTAATCCTGAGTGAGTCACTCTTGTTCCTCAGCTTCTTCTTCTGTAAAATAGAGAGAGAAATAATATCTACCTCACAGGGCTGGTGAGAGGATTAAATGAAGGTATGTAAAACGTGTAGAACAATGTCATATATTAAGCTCAAATGTATTAGCTATTGCCTCATTTCCCTAATGTCTTCCTTTCCACCAGCCTCTCTGCATGCAGAGACAAGGTTGGTCTTGTTCCACATTGTACCCCTCGGCCTGGTACATAGCTTGTCTTCGATAGTTGTTTACTGTTATTAATGGTATTCAATAAATATCTGTCAAACGGATGAAGGAACGTGCATTTACTGGTAAGGTATTTGATATTGACAGAATAGTGGGAAAAGCCCAAATTTTAAAAACAGGCAGGTTTCAAAACCTTATTTCCTCATCCTTAACTATTGACTTTTTTAAGGGGAGGGAGGGACAATTTATCGAACTTTTCTGAGCCTCTGATTTCCCATCTATAAAATGGAAATAATTCCTTCCTGCAATGTTGTTATACGGATTTGAGAAAATTCTGTTAATTTATTAATAAATAATAGCTATTTTTGGTGCAAATATTACTATAGTAACCAGAGCACAACCCAATGGGACACCATTCATGTTGGGTGCAAAGTAATGATGTCCCCTGGAATACTGCCATGTAGAGCCCTGAGGGTATCCGCAGTATACTTTGCGGGCCACGAAAATTGCAAAAGCAGCCCTTCATCAGAGTCTCTCAGGACTGTATGCATTTGGGGTCCATGAGAGCAGCTGAGGGTTAATATTACCTGCACAGACTTTCTGCAGGTGATATTCTCATTTCAAAGTCATGGAAAAGGAGACACAGCTATAAACTGGAGACCCGGGTTTAAGCTTAAGCTTTTTAAATTCCAAGTTCACTACTCTGTAAAACCCAACAAATACAGTGAAAGAGAGAGAAGGGTAAACTCTCTGAATAAACCAGTTAGCATCAGTGTTTGTGCTATACGCTCATTTATCATTCATTTAACATCTACTAGATGCTCCAGAGCTAAGGACTACCCACTCCATTCCACACCCCATCTCCCTCCTGCATCCTGGGATGGCTTCAGTTCAGCTGGTATCCAGTCAGGATGGAGTTAAAGAATACAAACAGAACCTCGTCTCCAATCAGATGAACAGGATATTTGGCAATAACAAGTTGCTTCTGAGGAAAAGTGAGTTTCTTGCCGTGTTCCTTGTCAGCGTTACAAAGCTGAAAGCTAAACTTATCTTCACTTATACAAGCACACCCTGTTGCCTAGTCCCGTTCGTGTGCATTGCCATTGTTGCTGCCGGTGCCTGGACCAGGACCCCAGCCCGCAGGTTTCCCCGGGGCTTCCTTACGGGCATCGTCTCAAAGTGTCTGGTGAGTAGTCATTTATTGGCATGCAAAGGGGCCAACTTGGGAGCTGGCTAGGTCTTGGCCGGGGAGGTGTTGGCAAAGCCCAGGCATTGCATTTCAATAGGGCAGGAAGGGGATGTGATGGCCTATAACCTCAGGGACTTTTTCCAGATGGCCCACCCCATCTCTCTCCTGCTCTGAGGAAGTGGCTCAGCCTAGAAGCACCACACAGGGGAGAAATGCAAACCTTAACCCTTACCAGTGGTAATAGTTCAGGACTACCACCAGATTCTGTTAAAAGTTTTAAAAGCACTCAAGTGTTGGCAAAGATAAGTGATCTTGGGTTAATCATAACTGGAATGTTGGCTTTCTCTTTGTGGAAGAGCCAGCCGATCACATCTCTCTGTACCAGAGCCCCCAAAGAAGAGAAAATATACTGAGGTTGCAGCAAGAGGAATTTAGGCTAGAGGTAAAGAAGAATTTTCTGAAAACAAGTTTACATAATTACATGTTGGAACTATTTTTTCAGGGAAGAACTACGCAGGGCCCTTTCTGAAAACGGAAAGCTGACATGATCTGGCAGTTCACCAGAACTCTGTGCAGGCTTTGGATCCACGCTGTTGTTTATTCCCGGTATCCCTGTAAGGAAGCTTGGGGGACGAAGTAAAAACGTTTTGTATTCTTGTGTTTTTATTCTCATTTACAAGGCATAAATAGATGGACTAGGTTTTGATCTTGATTTAATTCTAACGTTTATTGAGCACAGCACAAGCAGTTTTCAAGAGTTAATTATCTGGCCATGGCCCATATTTCAGGAGTTAATCATCAGGTCGAAGACTCACACACATAAATATGTGTGATGATCAGTACCATAATCCCACAGAGTGCTGGTGAGTTCAATAGATGAAGAGATTGCTCCCATTTGGCGATTTAGGAGAAATCTCCTTTCATGAGCTGGTCTTGTAGGATGGGATAGATTTAAATAAATGCAGATGCGGGAAAGTGGAGGCAACAGCTCAAGTAGAGATCTGGAAATAGAAAAGCACAGAGTGAGTTCAAGGAAAGGCAACTACTCTAGGGTGTGGAGAACCTAAGTCAAAGATCAGAGACTCCCTGGCCAGACCTCCAGCACACAGTGCAATGGGGAATAGAAATGATAATGTGTCAGGTCAGGTTCTCCAGGAAACAGGCGCCTAGACGGGTAGACATTCAAGAGCTGTTTGGGGAGAAACACCTGTAGAGGATAAAGGGAACAAAACAGAGGTAGGGAGGGAGAGCCTTCAGAATGGGGTACAAGCAAGACATCTATAAAAGGAAAAGGGGGAAGGAAAGAGGAAAGGAGGAAAGCATCGGAAGCATTTCAGACTGCAGCACAGCCCAGGGGTAGTTTCAGCCAGGCCGGTGGGGAATCCTGGGTGCAAAGCCATCCGTCAGAGGAGACCCACACCCGTGTGATGGACTTGTGCTGTATCACAAATGTCGTCGGTCATTGGCTGGGAGCAGCCTGAGGGATGTGCAGCCTTGGCATGAAAGTGCTGGTGGATCCAGAGGGGTAGCGGCTGGGGCTGTCAGTCAACTCTGCTCCCTCTATGAGAGGTCTGAGTGGTGATTTTCGTGGCTACCACATTTGGTCAGCATCATTGAATGACTCCTGATTGAAGAGACACAGCTTCTAATAATTCATCATTAAGGATAATGTTTGTTGCAGTGTTTGCTAGCTGGCCTTTTTTGGTTAAAGAAATTCCCTCTTCTGGCTTACTAGAAGTTTTTCTTTTCATTTTTAAAAATTAGGAATTTTTTTTTTCAATATTGAGGTGATTATATGGTTTTTCTCCTATAATCTATTAATATGATGAATTATGATTAGAGATTTTCTGGTGTAAATTCTACCCTTATATTTCAGGAATAAACCTGAATTGAGCATGAGGTTCTATTTTTTATTTTCTGCTATATTTGGTTTGCTAATGCTATGTTTAAGATTTTTTTCACATGTATTCATGAGGGAGATTGGACTATAGCTTTTCTTTTTTGCAAGTCTTTGGTTTTTGAATCAAGGACATTTTAACTTCATAGAATAATTGGGGACTAGTCCTTCATTTAATATGTCTAGAAAATGTTAAATACATTTGGAAAAATATGCTCAGTTTTTTTTTTTTTTGAAAATTGGTAGAACTTACCTGTAAAATTATCTAAGCCTGATGTTTTCTTCGTGGGAAGAGTTTTAACTCCAGATTCAAATTCTTTAACCATTATGGGAGACCATTTAGGTTTTCTATTTCTTCAGGAGTAAATTTGTAAGTAAATTTTTTTTCAGCAAATTTGTTTATTTTGACAATTACCAAATATATTTCCACTAAATTGTTCTTAATGTTTTTTTAATTTAAAAAAATCTGCAATATCTTTAGATATCTCCTTTATATTCTCCTTATTTTGCATATTTATACCATTTTTCTTTTTTCCTTCATCAGTTTGTCTACTTTTTGATCCTCTTGTTCTTTGTTTCTATATATTAATTTCTGCTCTTAAATTTATTATTTCTCTCTTTTTACTTTTTTAGGGTTTATTCTATCATTTTTCTCTCTAATTTCTTAAGTTAGGTGTCTAATTTTTAGCCTTCTTTGCTTTTCTTATAATACAAGCATTAAAATGATACAGTTTCCCTGACATTTCTTTTGCTGCACTCCACAATTGCTGATATGAAGTGTTTTTAACATCATTCAATTATGAAAATTCAAAGTTTTCTTTGTGATTTTTTTGACTTATGAGTTTCTTAAATATTTTAAAGTTATTAAGCATACTGGGATTTTTAAAAGTTTATCTTTTTATTATCAAGTTAAAGCAAATAGAAGAGACTTTGATCTGCATGATTCTAGTTCTTTGAAATTTCTTGACACTTGCTTTGTATCGTTGTATGTGATCTATTTCTATGCATGTTCCATGTGTAGTAGAATTAGCTAATTGTTTAGTCAAGTGTTCTCTATATGTCCAAGAAATCAAGCTTAGGTGTTTTTGCATGAGGATTGCAGGTGCAGCCTGAAGAAGATGAAAAGCCTGATATTTGTGAAGTTGGGCTGTTTAAAGATATTGCCAAGTGTACGAACAAGCAGTAGTTTCAAATCTCTGGGTATTAACTTCCCGCTGGGCAAGGTCTTTTTTTATTATTATTATTATCCTTGTATAGATCTGTATTTTCTCAATTAGTAGATAGTAAAAATAACTACTGTCCTGCAATTTTTTTTTAACTTTAACAAGTGTTCCTCATAACAGAAAAGTTCAGAAACTACTCCTGTGGGTGTGTGCTTTTTAAAGAGATACTGATTTCTCTAGAACAATCATAGAGTGCTCCAGAGGTAATTAGCACAATTGTGCGAGTCGTGTGCACCATCAAACGTGCCTTCTGCCTGTCAACTCTAAATCCACATGAAACTGACAACACAGTCAAAGGTGAGCCTAAGGGGCAGGCATTTTCCGAGGCTTCCTAGCACATTGAGATAGGCTTGGCCAGTCTGCAACAGGGTCTCTGTCAGAATTGCATTTCTAAAACTAAATTCAAACTGCTTTCATTTAGGGCGTCAGAACTGATTGAAATTCAGATCTTTAAGAGCCCTTAGTTTTAGGACTTTTCCCGTTCTCAGTCTCCATCACTTGTTTCGTGAATCCAAACCCATTTTGATCATATCCTTGACTCAGTCCTGTAACAAGGATAAAGGAGATATGTTCATGCTGAGGAAATATAACAAAGGAGGGACTTTCCTACAAGATCTGTGAAAAAAAAAGAACATTTGCATAAACCATATTTAACCAGAATGTTTGTTTTATGTTTTTCCTTTCTGAATGCTTTGTTACACACCCTTGCAGTCCCCCTCCCTGTCCCCCGACCCAACTAGTCAGCCACAAAGCCTCAAAAAAGTTTCACCTTGGAATCTTCCTGGCCCCACCCTGATCATCCTGCCTGAATAATTACAGTTACTGACTCTTCTCCCTGCTTCCGCTTCTCTCCGCTCCCAACCCTCAGACGAGTTCATCTTCCCAGAATTTCATAGTGATCCTGTCCGTCTATTGCTCAGGTTTTCCCAGAAACTGTGGAATAAACTTCACAAGCTTTAGTCTGGAGTTTAAAGCTATTCTATGCCTTTTTCACTGCTGGTTCTCTGCTAAGCCTGTAAAACCTATCTGTCGTTTCTGACTCCATACCTTCGTCTTAGCTACTTAACCCATCTTCTGCTTCCTAATTAGACCTCACTCAGGATCTATTTTTATCAGTAAATTCTGCTGCCCTTTGCCAAGTGGCCCCTCCCTCCTCCGAAACCAGCATCTCTGAATTTGCACCCTCAGCACAGTTAGTGTGCGCTGCCTCGGCTTGTAGTAGATATCTTGTAGATATCCAGTAGATATCTTTTCTCTGCAACCACCACCTCCAGATGCTGGGTCCTTCAGGGCGGGACTCCGCCTCTAGGTGTCCACAGCCTCTGGTACCGTTCCTTGCAATAGTAAATTTTTAGTAGATGTTTAATTAGTTAATTGAAAACCTTAGGCCTCTCTTCATACTAAACATGCCCATGTAATTTATCATTCAATAGCCATGTTGAGCATCTATTGTCCTCCCAAGAGAGGGGGAGGTTCTCAGGATGCTGAGATCAAGAGACACAGTCTGTTCCGGGTTGGGACCGAGGGTGCTTTTGTTGTGAGTTGGAAAGGCCACATTCTTTTGGCCTGCCCAAGGAGTCCAGCATTAGTATTTGAAATCAAATCTATTTTGAGTAATTTCTTATTCCCTTTTCTCTTCAGCATTACACACCAGCTCTTTTTAATACCACCTTTCCTTACCTAATAGACAGACACTTAGTAGCCATGGGGACTTTCCCAAGTTATTTAATATCTCTGGGCTTCAGTTTCCTAAAATTTGAAACGGGAATAATAATACTGGTGGCCAAGGATTAAAGGCTGTGAGGAATGTAACCCAGATGTCAACTAGGGTCTCTCCTTTAAAATCCGGATACAATGGATTAAAAATGCTGATAATGTGGAAGCCCAAAACACTTCCTGAGTTCTCAAAATTCCCAGAGAGCTTAATTTTCCTGCTCTCTTTGGTACTGATTTTCTTCTAAATATTTGTTTCTAACAAAATATTTTGTTCCAACTTTTCTTTTTGTGGCTATTCCTTCATATCTGTCATTTTCCCAAACTAAGGAAGCAGCCCCTTCACCTTAAACTCCTCCTTCAAAGCGCCCTGAACGCAGGCCTGTGTTTGTAGTAGAATGTTTACAGAAGGTTTATGCGATGCCGAGGGAATCACACCACCTAACATTCATGTCAGTCCTCAGCGGGCAGGCAGCCTCCACAGAGTTCTTGCTAACCGCACCTCTTCCAGTTCTTTTCTATCTCCATCCTTTCCTCTTTTTCCTTCTCATGTCATCACAGGAGGAAAGAAAACTCAGTTTCCTGAATTTTCATACACAGGGCACCCTAGTTACACGTTACTACTGCAGAAGTTCCTGCCAACACTGAGTCTGTAGGCTCTTGCCTTCTGCCTCAGAGGCTTATCAAGAAAAGACAGGTTTCTCCCAATTTGGATTTTGATGCCAAATAAGATCACTGGATGCCAACTAAAATAAATTGAAGATAATAAACTTAAAAATAAATTGTTACCCTGCTTTTATCACCATCATGGCTACTAGTGCTATTAGAACTCTTAGAATTGGAAGCACTCCTACTAGATCTCTTCCTCAGACCACGGTTCATACCAAGATGCCGAGGAAAGTTTAGTTCCGATTACACCTTTCAGAGTCACACAGGGAAGGCTGTAGAGCATGAAATGCCCAGAGCCCGCTAGGTCAGACAAGCCTGCCGAGGCCAAGGGAAAGTGAAAATCTCATTATCTTTCCCAATAATTTCCCTGCCTCTTGTCATGGGTTATGGGTTGTTCTGGCAGTGGCAGCTTTTCTTTCCTGAATGAGACGTGTAAACAGAAGGAAGAACCAAACTGCTGGAGTCCAGAGAGGGAAATTTTAGAAAAACTTTGGAGAAAAGGGAAATGAAGAGATGCGTCAGCGGGCAGAGAATAGAATCTTTGAGGGGGAGGAGCACGGGCAGGGAAAGGCTAACCATTGGTTTTCCACAGAATGGTTTGAGTGTGAAGCCTCTTTCTTGTCTCATGTATTTCTCCTTAAGTCGTTATGGAGCAAGGTCTGTTTCAGACGCGTGTCAAAAACAGAGCACAGTCCTAGGGAGGCCAAGGGGTGAGAGCTGAGGCCACGCAGGGAAAGTGTGTAACACTCTGGCGACAGGTTTTTCTTATCAGATTTAGGTCATAAAATTAATTTAGGTAATAAAATCTTAATTTAATGACATATTTCTGCGGGAGACTAATATAAGACAGCCCAGGCCCACCGGCCTCTGATGAACAAATCCAGAGGACTGGACAGTTCTGTGTCCCTCGACTCTTTCGATTTCACGAAGGCTCGTACTCTGGGTTATGGGAAAAAGGGGTTATTTCATCTGATCCGGGACACAACTGTGTGCAGAAGATAATGGTATCCCCATTTCACGAATAAGTTTGAAATTCAGAGAGGCAGATGACTTGCAGGGTCCCACCACAGAGGTAGAGGTAGGATTCCAGCTGAGTGGGTCTGACTCCCCAACCTATGCCCTTCCATCTCGCCCCAGCAAGAGGGCAGGTGGTGAGCTGACCTCCTGTGGTGAAAATCTCAGTGCTGGGTTGCTATCTGAACACAAATGAAGGACCCTCTGGTGTCTGATCTCAGGAGAAGGCCTCAGACCTGCATCTACTCAAGCCCTTGCATAAGATCCAGAATCCTACACCAAAAAGCAGAAAAGCAAGATTTGGGTGGGGAAAAAAATCTACATTTAAGGTTCAGTTCACAAACCAATTTCATACCTGACTCAATCATTGCAATAACTCTGTGAGATAAAAAAGGTACATTTCATTCTTATGTTACATATGAGGAAACAGGAAACCAAGTCTCAGGGAGGTTAATGCCAACATCTTGTGAAATTTGCCTTATGAATCTTTATTTCTGTCTTTATGAATCTTATGAATCTTTATTTAAGGGATGTAGCATGACGTAATTCCTAAGATCACATAGTAGCCTTAGAACTTAAACATAGACTGTGTTTTTAAATCTATACACATCTTACTTCCAAGAAGTAGCCTCCACTTGAGTTCTTTGATCCTGATGTCTTAATTGAATACCCTTGCTCTCAGGGCTGCCATGTGAGTCTGTGCAGGTTGTACACTGCACAACTCTGAGGTATGTATCCTGAGCTACATAAGTGTGAATGGCACATCCTAGATTTATAGTGCACAACATGGAGGATGTTTTGCAACAGCGCTTGTTGTAATGCAGAATCTGAGATGGCTTTGAGAAAGGAAAATGTAGTCATTACCAAAAAATAATTCTCATAACATGTACAAATTTGTATGAAAGCTGTATTGGCCATGGAGCAAGGAGGTATTTCCAAAGTTTCTACACAGGACCCTGTTCTCTTATAAGAATTCAGCCCTCTATATAATGTTATAATCCAATGTTACTGCAATAAAAAAAAAAAAAAGAATTCAGCCCTTGACGTTAGATGAGTTCAGGTCATCACATGCCATGGAGAAAGGGTTTGCTACAAATAATATCAACAGTACACTGTGTGCTCTTTCTGATTTATTTGAAGAAACATTTATTGAGTGTCAAGTAATAAACTAGATATTCCAGAGATGGGGCACAATCTCTGCCTTTAAGGAGGGTAAAATTGGGGAGAAAACATACATGTGATAATTTTTAAGAAAGCAATCTAAGTAACATTTTAAAAAACCAAACTGTATTTTGCACAAAATTGCATGTTACAGACTAACTTTGCAGTAGGAGACCAGAAAGGGAAGATTGCCATGAGTTGGACTAGTTGAGCACTGGTTATGAAAGAAGTGGTGAGGGTGGGGCCTTCCTGAGAGGAATCTTAATGAATAGATAGAATCTGGGTAGATGGATAAGAAGATTGGGGGTGGGGAAGGAGGAGCATTTCAGCATGAGCCAAGGACTCTCCCTCTACTTGTTTTAACACTTTTTTTTTTTTTTTAAGATTGGCACCTGAGCTAACATCTGTTGCTAATCTTTTTTTTTTTCTTCTTCTTCTTCTTCTTCTCCCCAAAGCCCCCCCGGTACATTCTTGGTTGTGGGTCCCTTTGCCTCTGCTATGTGGGACGCTGCCTCAGCATGGCCTGATGAGGGGTGCCATGTCTGCACCCAGGATCCCAACCGGTGAAACCCTGGGCCCTGAAGCCGGAGTGCATGAGCTTAATCACTGCCACAGGCCGGCTCCCTGTTTTAACACTTCTGTACAACATCAGAGAGATATTGCCTGCGGCTGGCATTCTGGTGAGGCTGTTTCTTTATTAACAATAGAGTGGTTATAAAAGAAACATTGAATTCAAGAAATCTAGATAGGCCTAATAAAAGAGACAGCAAAACCCAAATCCAAAACACCATGCAGGCTCTCTCTCTTTGGTGCTCATGAGATGCCATGTGCAGAAGTCAGTCAACTGAGAAGGGGAGATGCCTGAAGGAGGTAGGGAGGCTGGAGGCGGTTAAATCGGATGGCCTCCATTTACAGCAGGTGGGGCTACAGTGCAAATAGGACTTTTCCTGTTTGGAGCAGAACCCCATTACTTTGCTGGAACTGGACAGCAAGAATAACATCAAGTTTATGAACTTTCTATCAGAATGTACCCCCACAGAATACTGGAGGGCTGGGAGGTAAAATGTGATCAGCAACAAAACTGAGCCTGTACTTGCATATGTCACAAAGTTTCACTGTCTTTAAAGTCATCAGGTACAGCGTTGAAATGAAACTGGAAACAAGAGTCAAGAAAGAGAGCAAAGTCGGATGTTTTTATACTCCATAGTAATCCTTTTCCCCACGGTCTTGTTTCTCCATGGAAAACAGAAGACTGAGCTATGTAAACCACAACTGCGGGTCGGTGGGGGGGGGGGCGGGTGGTGGATGAGGGGCAAAATGGGAGCAGAAGGAGCTGCTGGTGACATAGAAGTATTTTCACATGCACTGAAAGAAACGTTCTTCATCTTCAATGCAGGAGACACCATGTGACACTTGTCATGGAGGGATTTGAAGGATCCAGTGAAGTATCCCCAAAGTTTTCCTTCACAGTGGGTATTTAATATGGGTCTTCCATGCTGAATGAAAAACAAGAGAACATAAGTTAAACTAAGGAGTTTAAAAAATTGCAAAAATTAACATGTTACTACTAAAGGTAAATATTCACCAGAGGTGAGAAGAGGCCTAAAGGAAACATCTTTCAGACCGGTTAGACAAGCTGCAAGGCATGCACTAAGGCCAAGGAGCAAGCGGAGAGCCCTAACGCAGCACTTCTCACACTTTTAGGGCTTTCTACCCAGAGATGGCATTAAAATCAGGCTCTGAATCAGCTGGTCTGGGTGGGCCTGAGAGTCTGCACCTCAAGGAGCTCCTTGCTGATGCTCATGCTGTCGGCCCACTCTGAGAGAAATTTCTGTCATCCAGGCTGTCCTCAGATTGAATGAGCATGAAGGACATTTTAGATAGATTTTGAGTGGTGGAAAGTCAGGAAAGTAGAAGACATGCTCAAATGGAAAGAGAAATCAGAGAAAATCATTAAAGGCCTGGTGGTAGTTCTAAACGACTGATTCTGGTGGGATAGGATTTGAGGAGATGGTAACAAATTTAGTTTCATAGAATAAATGCCACATTTCTGTGGGTGACAAAGTTGTCTCATTCTTGGAAAGGGTGGGGGAGAACCAAATATGGGTGTCTTAATAGCACCTTTCGAAGGGAGAACCAGATTCTGAGTTGGTTCTCATGAAGAACTCCCAGGGTAAACCACAACTCAGCAGCTGCAAACGTGCTGGCCAACACTGAGATAAAAATGTTTCTGAAAACAAAATTTCGCGTATACCCTCCTCTGAGGTTGGCATCGTATCTTCCTGTGTATCTTGGGTGTAGCTTTTACCCAGGCAGAATTTAGACACTAGAAACCAAATGAGGTGATAAACAGAACCAGTTTGCAGAAGAGTCAAAATAACCCAGAAAGAATTGAAACCACAAATGCCCTAGGAGTCAGTCATTCACCAACCCAAAGCTAATAAAGAGCTCAGTACCTTTAAATAAATTGATATACTGTGTTTAGTGTAACAGTGTTCATTTTACCTTTGGCTGGTTCTAGAAAAATACCCTACCTCGTCCACCCCACCCTTCCTCAGTGCCATCGCACAATGGTTTCAGTGTAAAAAATAGAAATCACATTATTGGAGGGGGGAGGTGTCCAGACTAAAACTCCCACCTGGGAATCCAGAGTCCCAAGTTCTGGAAGCACAATGGTTAAAGAGCATGATCTTTGGATCCAGATGGGTACAAATCTCAGCCTTGCAGTTTATTCAGGGGCCTCAAGCTGCCTATTTTATTTGTCCGCGCCTTGTCCCTTTCCCTGTAAAATGAGGATATTAATAGTACCCGCCCCCGCAGGCTGGTAGGCCATATTAATGATTTAAGACGGGTAAAACACTCAGAACAGTGCGCAGCATGGAGTTAATGTTTGATAAATGTTTACTATTACTGTAACTAACTCGGTCACTGGCTCAGGGCCTATGGGAAAGTTATTGAATCGGCTCCATTATAAAGACAGTTTGAAAAAAATGTCCACTAAGATCCTTTCTAGACCTAAAATTCTATGACTCTGTGAATTAAAGTCAGCTTGGTCAATAAATGAGAGGTGTGCCAAGGAAGCTGGGCAAATGATTCTTCTCTGCTAGGTCCTTCCTGAACATCTGGTGAAGTATTCAAGATCTATGTTGATGGAGCCAGGCTTCACCTACAACTTCTGTTCACAGCTCCTCAAGAAGCCATGGCTCCAGGCACTTTACTCACCGGCCCCGGTAGGTGCTTTCACAGTCCGGGTACCATACCACTGCTTTTATCATTTCCTCCTCTAGACTGTCTTCCCTGCTTCTCTCCACATACCTAAGTCCTATCCATGCTTCAGAAACCGACTAGGTTCTACCTTCTTTATAAAAGTTTTTTGTGATCATCAAGCTGCTTCTGTATTGAAGAAGTCTTTTCTTTAATGCAGAATTCCTCTGCCATTACCATTCTCTGCCTTGTATTTTTCTGAATTTTTTTCTATAGTTCTGTCCTCAACTAGATAATAATCTCCTTGAGGTCAGGGTCAAGGACTTACTCCTCTTGGTGTCTTGGTCAAGCTCAGCATTGGTCCAACACAAAGGTGTTCAATTAAGAACTATTGATTGATTCATTGTAAAAATCAGTGAACCATTAAACTTAATACAGCAATTAGCTTTACCTGGGAATTAACTTAATGCTAATACTCTTCCTGACAGCATCTCTTCCTGCCCCCCAAGGTCCTCTAAAAAAATTGAACTGATCTGCTTCCATCTAGTGGCAATTAAAAAACAGGTGGTGCCTATGACCAGAAAACAACTCTTGTGTAGATTGTGCCAGAAAAGACTTTCACTCAGTGGTTGTGAGCATGAAAGAAATCTTTACATCTTGTGGATTTCCTGCCCACAGAGATAGGGAGGCCAGCCCAGAGAAGGATCTAGGAGCCCATCCCCACTATAAAATAGAATAAAAGAACATCCACTGACCCTCAGTACTCATCCAGTTATCACCTCCCCCCCCACCACCCCCCCCCCCCCCCCCCCCA